TGGATTTAACTACAGGCATGGAAATTAGGATTTACAACACACATTTTTGGAGAAGCAGTTCAATCCCTAACACTACTGAACTATAACCTTGAAGTGATCGCTTGGGCCACTAGAAGTCTCTACTCTTACATAGTTCTTTTCCCCTATCCCTCATCCCTGCAGATGTGCTTGTTCAGCTCTTTTCTGAGATTTTTGTCCAGCAATTACCCTGGTGTCCCCCACCCCCCCGCTACACACACACACAAAGCTGACCATATTTTCTTGATTTCAGGTTCTAGCTAGTCCACAAAGTGCACCAGTACCGTGGAAGGATTTAACATCTCTGGGAGCATCCCAAAAACCAACAAACGTCCAACTCCAGCCTTTAACAACACGACTGAAATCCTGGGAACCTTGCTGTTCTCCAAAAAGTGGTGAGGAATAGAAACTCATTTGGGAATTTTCATCAAGCCTCTGTTTTTGAGGTTGCAGAATTGATTGCATTTCATAAACTTGCCACATATGTGCATCACCTTTTTTCTAGACCAGAGGTGCTCACTTTCCCAAGAACCCTCATAAATTGCAGTCAGCCCTCTGTCAGTTTACCTATCATTGATTCATTTATTCATCCATTTCTTCTTTATACAATATAAGAGTGCTAATATATGTCCAGTACTTTGCTAGTCACTGTATCCGTATCTTCAAGGAGCTTTCGGGTTTAGGTAGGGTGACACATGAGATAACAGTATTGCAACATATTATAGTAAGTTATAGAACAAATACAGGCACTAGGTAGTGGTGGTTCAATGGTAGATTTCTCACCTTCAATGCAGGAGACCAGAGTTTGATCCTGGCCAATACACCTCAAGTGCAGCCACCAACCAACAGTCATTGGAGGCTTATGATGTTGCTATGCTGCTAAAGAGCTTTCTGCAGAGCCTCTACACTATGACAGACTAGGAAGAAAGGCCTGGTGATTTACTTCCAAATATCAGCCACTGAAAACTCTATGAATCCTATTGTGTATGTAATTGCCATGAGTTGACTGTAGGGCAGGAACAACAACAGGTACTATGGGAGCACATAAAATAGCACCTAAGCCAATCTTAGCAGTTCAGGGAACAACACTTCCAGAAGGAAGAGCTATCTACTAAGAACTGTAGTATGAGTAGGAGGAAGCCAGTTAAATAGGGAGGAAGACAGTCTCAAGCAGAGGCCACAATGTCCTGTAAGGGAACACAGGCCATTCTGGGAATTACAGATAGTCCAGGTTGGTTTGAATGGAGTATTAGGAGAGGAGGAGAGCTGAGAAATAAACTAAAGAGGAAAATGGGATCCAAGTAGTAAAATCTTGAATGTCATGCTAATTATTTATATAGTTTCCTAAGTATTATATGTTTAATTGAAGAGTTTAGGGCAAAGGAATGACATAATTAGATTTATGTTTTAGAACTTAGCTGCACACTGGAGAATGGATTTGAGGAAGGCAAGAGTTGAGTTCTGGAGTCCTGTTAGAGGCCTTCAATCCAGGTGTCCACAGTGCATAAATCAAAAGATATGATACCCCTAGCCCTATCCCAGGAAGATCAAAGCTGAAACCTATTCATCAGCTTTTAATTTTTTTTTCCAATTTTATGTCAGTCTGCTTGTTGAAAGAGGAGAGTAAAGAAGAAGAATTTCAGACTGATACTCAGTTTTCACTCTTGAGCAGTTTGGTTTATGGTGGAGCTATAGGCATAGTGTGGTTAAGGCATTTGGCTGCTAACCAGAAGCTTCATAATTCAAACCCACCAGCTGCTCTGCAGGAGAAAGATGAAGTGATCAGCCACGGAAACCCAGTGGAGGTTGCTATGAACCAGAATCAACTTAATGGCAGCAGATGGTGGTGGCAGATTCATATAAATAAGTCCCTTTATGCTGCAAACAGTTAAGTGCTCAGCCACTAGCCAAACTGCTGGTGGTTCACACCCCTGAAGAGGCACCTTGGAAGATAAGTCTGGCTGGTGATCTGCTTCCAAAAAACCCTGTGGAGCAGAGTTCTTGGATATACACAGGGTCACTGTGAGTCAGAATCAGCTTGTCATCCAACTAGCAACAAAATTCATGTAAATGGGGAAAGATAAAACAAATACATCTGATGATGTGTTTAGTTTGGGACATTTTGGTGTTTGTGAAATATTCATAAAATGCCCAGTTAGCAGTGGAATATGAGAGTCTAGAGCTCAGAGAGCTAGGGTAGAATTGGGGGCCTGGGAAGATACGAGCTTATAAGTTGTAATTGAAGCTTAGTGGGTAACTTGTAGAGTGGATTCATAAGAACCCAGAACAGAGTCCTGAGGAACACTAATGTTTGAGTGACTGGGCCCGGAGACTAAGAAGAAACAGCCACAGAATCAGTCTAATGTTGCTGAAAGAGAACATCTCTAGAAAGAAGGCAAAGTTCCCTAATGTCAAATGCTTCAGAGAAGCCAACTAAATAAGATGTGGAAAGTACCCATTGGATTAAGTGGCTGAGAAGCTGGTGACCTAGGTGAAAGCAATACCAGTGGAAGCAAACAGAGAGAGGTACAGATCACGTTGCAGACTGGGGATGACTACAGACAACCCTGTTCAAGAAGTTTCACTGAATAGGAGTGAGTGAGGTTGCTTAAAAGAGCTGTGTGGCAAGACCTTTTGAGTTAGAAAGAGCTTTAAAATGATAGGAAAGTAGTTGGTAATTGATCGGTTATCTTCTCAGAGGAGCAGGAAAGGGTGAAATTCAAAGTACAGATGGAAACCTAACATCAGAAAGAAGGAGGGACCCTAGTACAACTAGTTAAAGAAAAGATACATGTAAACAGTGACAAGTCTGTAAATAGAAGCCTGTTTTCTCTCAAGTAGAGGGGAGTATTGAGTGACTAGAGAAATGTAAAAATTTTTGCTATTTATCATTTCAGATTGTGAGAACAGTGAATCAGCAAAAAAGGAAGAAATTTTGGGAGAAAAATCAGAGGGACTTCTTCCGGAGCCTTCATTTGTAAAAGCTAGTAAACATGAAAACCGTTTAGTGTGGCAACAAGGAAGTGCTACAGGGGAGAAATTAAGATCCCCTTCCCAAGGAGACAGTTTCAGTCAAGTGATCTTCACACATGAATCTCAAGGAAAGAGAGACTATCATGATAATCCTCAAAGAAACTTGATTCTAAGTAGAAACTCCAGAACATATCAGAAGGTTCAGACAGAAGAGAGACCTTATAGATGTGACGTATGTGGGCATAGCTTCAAACAGCATTCCTCTCTAACACAACATCAGAGAATCCATACTGGAGAAAAGCCCTACAAGTGTAACCAGTGTGGGAAGGCCTTTAGTTTGAGGTCATACCTCATTATTCATCAGAGGATTCATAGTGGAGAGAAAGCATACGAATGCAGTGAATGTGGAAAAGCCTTCAATCAGAGCTCCGCCCTTATTAGACATCGTAAAATTCATACTGGTGAGAAAGCTTGTAAATGTGATGAATGTGGTAAAGCATTCAGTCAGAGTTCATACCTGATTATACATCAAAGAATTCACACTGGTGAGAAACCCTATGAATGTAACGAATGTGGGAAAACATTTAGCCAAAGCTCAAAGCTTATTAGACATCAGCGAATTCATACAGGAGAGAGACCTTATGAATGTAATGAATGTGGAAAAGCTTTCAGGCAGAGTTCAGAGCTGATTACCCATCAGAGGATACATAGTGGAGAGAAACCTTATGAATGTAATGAGTGTGGAAAAGCCTTCAGTTTGAGCTCAAATCTCATCAGACATCAGAGAATTCATAGTGGAGAGGAACCTTATCAGTGTAACGAATGTGGCAAAGCCTTCAAAAGGAGCTCAGCCCTTACTCAGCATCAGAGAATCCACTCTGGGGATGAATCTTATATATGTAGTGAATGTGGGAAAGCTTTCAGGCA